TCTGACTAGTTACCAACTGTGCCGATTCTCAGATTTGAATTCCAGTCGAAACTCATTCTCTTTTCGTTGTGTTCATTTTTTTCGAGCGGTGAGTAATAGCTGTTCGATCATCTTTTATTCGAATCATTGATAAATAATTTTAAGGTAAAAAAAACTGCAGGATGCCTACGAGAGTGGGTGTAAGTTTGAATTTTTGCTTCACTACTACGCTCACATCCACACTCAAACCTTTTCTATACAAGGCTTATTAGTATTGCAACAATACATATATATATATATATATATGTAACAGACTCATGTGTACATCATATAACTGAATAAAAATGCTTCAGTTTGACTATCAGTCATATTCAGTTTCACTCGAATACTAGCCTTTTCCATTTGACATTTTTCTATGGTGTTGATTATGACACTGACATGCATAAGGTCGCTTGGCAATGAAACCATAGGCGGGATGACATGTTCAAGATATACCCCGTGACGAAAAATCACACTAATCATACGAAAGATGATAAAGAAGGTCCAAACGAAACCAAAGGCAAATATACAAAGGGTTTCGTTTGCTTATCATCGTGGTGTGTCTTCTTCATTGAATTGTGTAAACAATACGAATCACATTTGTATAACTCATAGAGATGAAATCAGTTCGTGTTTTTTCTAAATCGAACTGAGCCTAATTAAAAACACTCAAAACTTATTCTTGCTTTGCAACGATATTAGTCGTAAAGTGCCTCATTAGGGTAAGTTTTTGACATATAGTAATATTGAGATTGAATCAGCTCGCAACATCTATTTGTGCCCTAATTTTGAAATAGTTTTAAGCTATTTCAAAATTTGAATTAAACCTGCGAAATCATTATCCCATTTTTTATTTATTTCTGTATATATATCTACATATCAATATTTGCAAAGACTAAAGAACGATACATAGTATAAAAGAAAGAATGCAAAATCCATGAGATCAAAAGTCCCATAGATGGTGTACATGAAAGAGAAAACTCATACAATACCTTGAGACAGAGAGAAGAGCAGGGAAAAAATGAAAATTGTATCATCTATAGATCTGGACAGAAAAAGTTCAACACATTTTCAAACCGAATTTTCATGCTTGCACAATTTGCATCGATCAATAGTTCCTCAATCGCTTAATTACCAACTCGTTTCCCTTTCAGATTTTATTGATTTATGTAGCTTCATGATCATCAAGCTCAATGGTATAAATAGTGTATTTTATACCAGTAAAGAGAATTTTCTACCCTGTTTCTATTGAAATTGCAATGCTTTTTTCCTATGATTTCATAAAAACAGTCTTCGAATTTTTAAATCTCTGACTCTCTTTGAATGCAATATGGAAGATTATTCTTTCCAGTTGCATATTATTCTTGAAGAGTTTATTACCATAATACCAAAAGTAGAAACTGCTTGGTCATCCGCCACAAAACAACAGTCGACAAAAAAGGATATAAATAACATTTTCTAGGGTTCTACAGTTCTGAAATACATTTAGTTTTCATATCTTCTTCGTTTCGAAAATATACATCAAACAACGCAAACCTGAAGACATCAGTTGCCAGCACTCATTTTTCAGCAGCAATCACATAATAAATTATTATTCCCTTTGTCGTTTCACCTAGCTACAATTGAGATAATGTCAACTATGTAATTTTTATATAAACAAGAAAGTTTTCTTTAAGGAACACAGTGATAGTGTTTGTAGAGTAATACATTCTGTATCACATCAGTGTTAAGTTAGTTTTCAAAACTGTGTTTAGAGACATTTCTAATTAATGGATTCTCCTAACATTGTCAATCACTTTGTTCTTAATGTAACGATTTGAAATATGAACTGAGAACATAGGTAATTGAAAAATTTATATTAAAATGAAAATTCGAACATTAGAAGGGATGCGCATGAAAGACATTAATAACCTTGTCTAATAAAACAGTTTTATTTGTTCTTATAATACAATATTGATAGAATGAGTAGAATCGTTTTTCATTTTTCTCAAATGGAATAGATCCCATCATTGATAATGAATACTGTCCCAATACGAATAGAAACACAAGTTTTCGGTAGATTTCTCTGTCGTATAAAGTTTTCCTATTATATTAAGATGAACTTTGCATATTTTGGAAATAGGAATTAATCATGCTCGCAGACCCGTATGACCTGATCAAAACGCATATCCACACTTTGTTTTCTTTGAAGTCGATAAATAAATTCAATAGTTGAGACATATGTATATATACGAAATAGGTTATGTGAGTCTATCATCAAGCTATACAATTGAAACAGCAATAGCTAATTCTAACAAAATATCATTACTTGTTGAATTATGTGATCACTATCCTATCGTATTTGATATTATTTGGACTCTTTCATTCAATTCAATTATTGTTAAACAACTTCAAATCGAATCAAGCATTCAATACTAAAGTAGTTCAAACCAATGATCAAACAAACAATAAAAACATACGTAAAATTCTTAATGGTATTCGTTGAAATTTAAAGTCGAGTCTTCAAAAAAAAACATTGTATCAAATAACAGCAATGAGAAAAACAATCGATATTATGATCAGTTATTCACATAAAGACAAACAGATTTTAAACAATTGTATGAAGAAGTCGTTCGAGTTGGTTATCGAATCTGAATCGGTTTCGATCAAATGCATGGAAATGTTCTGGATGCAATGGTAGATGCTATCGAACAATTATGAACTATTATGATCTGTATGAGTGAACAATATCAACGAAATAATTTTGTCCTGTCGACGCACCAGATACATTTCAAAAACGATTAAATATAGTATCAATTCTCTTGCAGAAATACTACAAACCTAACGGATGGCTTGTGTTTCGAATTGGTTCATTATTGTATGTTGATTTTACTAAAAATCAATATTCAAAAGCACTCGATATGTTGATAAATGAGTTCAAAATGGCTGATGCATGCCATAAAATTGCATATAAACCTATTCAACCAAAATTAAATAATGTAGAATTATTAGATGTTTCCTCTTGTTTGGCACAATTATCATCACAATCAATAACATTTTCTGAAATTTAGAATCTGAAAATATTTGGAAAGTTTATGATTTTCTATCTTATCCAACAGAATCATTAGTCAAATTTTTTCAAGATGTATTACCTGGTGAAGAAAAAGTTGTTTTGTCATTTGAAAATGTACAGCAACAAGTTGGTAGTCATGATTGTGGATTATTCGCATTAGCTTTCGCCACATCTCTTTGTTATGGAGATATTCCATCATCATTATTTTATGATCAAAAATCTTTACGTAATCATTATGTTAATTGCATTGAAAATAATGAAATACAACGATTTCCTTCAAAGCCTAAGAGGGGAAGTACTAGAAACAATTGCAAATTAGTTGATCTTTATTTGAAATAAAATATTTGTATATTTTGTTTTGTTTTCTATACTTGATTTGTACTTAATATGATTTTATTTGTTTGGATCTTTAATTGTAAAATATGATTTGTAATTTTGTTTGATATTAATAAATAATAAATGATTTATGAAATGAAATTAAAAATGAAAACAAGTAGTAATATCCTATTTACCTGAATAGTTAAGTCCAAAGAAGATTATTTATAGCATGAGATTTACCAAATAGTTGACTTAAACTGTCTGAGTGCACATAGCCACTTTCAAAAAAAACTTTTTCTCAGAATTATTCACAACATATATAAATCGACTCAGTTTTTAACGCTGATTCCGAATCTGATATTAGTTTTGAACCAAAATCGTAGCTTTCTAACAAAACATCGCCTGAAAAAGGTCTCAAAATGCACAAAAACTGTATCCAGAAAGCAAATTGCCTAGATATGCCTCAGATGATAAAAAACAAAGTGAATATACCTGTTCACTTTTTGAAGTACACATAACACTCGGATTTAAATCCGAGGTTTTCGCATTTTTTTTTATATAAAACTGATTATAAACTTGTCAGAATAAGATGATAACAACATTGGAAACAATACCAAATGAAATTCTTCTTATGATATTTTCTCATTTATCATGGTTTGAATTATTAATGTCTTTATCGTCATTGAATAAACGCTTTGATCGGCTGATATGTTCTATTCTCTCAAAAATTGATAATAAATCAAATAATGGTCTTGTTATTATTAACCCTGGTTTATCATATAATAAATATAATTCAATATTATTACCATTAATTTCTAATCCATTGTTACCATTTGCTTCTTGTATTCAACGTCTTCATTTTGATGGGACAATTTGTAATGATTCTGATTTAAGTTATAAATGGCTTTTTGATAATGATAAAAAAATTCTTCATTTTCCAAATCTTAAATCACTTATACTTACTCGATGTTTATTGGTAGAACCTTTAATTAAAAGTCTACCTATATTTATTAAATATCAACTTGATGAACTTAGATTAACATTTGATAGAGATATTATTACATTACTTCGATATCCAAATGGATTATCGGCAATGGATTTACGTACAGGTAATTAATTATTCTTGAAATATAATAAGATTATTTCTTTATTAAGAGAAAAGTGAAATATTTATAGATAGAATATTGATTTTTTTTCTCTTTATGCTTATAGAAAAGTTAATTATGCTTGAAGAATTAATTCGTAAACTTTTCTCTAATCAATCTCGTCTCATTTCACTTCACTTCAACTTGATATTGCCTGCAATGATTCTTATGCTAATCTTCATCGATGTTTAGAACCTCATATCACTCTTGCTTCTTTTTCAATCTTTACGCATCGACCATATTGTTTGACTCTTCGTCGTTTATATATTCATATTAAATATATATGTTTTCTTGAACGTCTTATTGAATATGTTCCTGTTCTTCAACAATTATCGGTTTGTTTTCGTCACTCATTGAAAATTTGTCACCGATCTACAACAGACATTGACACATTGATACGAACAAATGGAAAGTGGTTTAATAAGGTAATAGAAAAGATACAGGCCAATCAAATAATGATTGCATTATCATATGCTGTAATAATAGATTTTTCTAATTCTTTCATTGTCTTATAGTGATCTACATATTTTACCAATGATTTGAATTTATGATTGAAGTCCTTATTCTAAAACTCTAGATAACATTTCATATTAAATTCTGCTTATAAGCTACAAATAAAAATTAATTAAATATTAATCCAATTATTTCTCAGATGCGTATCTATTATTTAACCAAAAGAAAGTTTGCTGAATGACAAAATCTGCTTATCATTTTTCACTTCTAACTACCAGAGATGAAATTATTTCATGTTTTTTCGAACCGGACCAAAACTTATAATAAGCTAAGAAATGCATTAAAATATCAGTTTTAGACAAGAGTCATTTTAATTTTTTTTTTGGAACCAGACCGATTCCATATTTGCCAACTACCTTCAAGTTTGTGCGGGAAGAGTTAATTTTCATTATCTATTTGAATAAAAGAGAAATTGTATATTATTCTTCATCGTGTTATATTAGATCTTGCTTGCAAAATGGTTACAGAGATTTTGCTTTAGGTAGAATCAATAGGCGAAGAGAGTTCAGATTATGGAGAAAAGTAATCTGTTATGAGAATCTACTCGATACTACATTTAATAGTAAAACTATTTCATATTTTCTTTATATTATGGCGAAGTTACACAAAACGATGTTAAATTTTAAATTTTTAGCTTTGGTACTATTAAAAGCCAGTTGAATTTGTCCTCATAAATCTGAAAATGGTATATTTTGTTTTTTCCTTTTTTTTGAAACTCAATTTTTATATGATAAATATATTTAAGAAGTAAAATAGTTCCTTTAAGAAATCAAGATAAATGTATCTTTGAATTGTGTCTTTTTTATTATAGGTACCAAAACTAGAAAGTTTTACTCTGAAAACTTTCGTTGATAATGATTCAGAATTTGCTTATTTGAAGTGGATTCTAAACAATCTTAATCATATTAAAAAATTGAAAATTCATTTGAAAAGTGCCACACATTATATGAAACAAATAAAGCTATTTGGAAATCTGTTATTGATGCAAATTTTATTCAGCGATATTGTTTGCCTGATGAAGTAATTAATTTAAGAAATTTTGATTTTTATATTTTTTCCAAATGTAACGTACCAATGATTGATATTGAGGAAATAATTAATTCATTTAAAATTCATCCGTTTTTTGTTGATCATCAATGGACAAATATTAAATGTTTTTTTGATTCAATAACTTCTTATCAACATCTTACCTCTTCTCTCAATTATACACCTCGATTTTCCAATAATTTAATGTAAGAATGCATAAAATATTATAAGATAATTATGCTTTTGTTCTAGTAACGAGAGAGATCTTTTCAATTGGCCACAAACACGATATGTTTGGATGGATTTACAGCCATCTCTTTATTTATTTCTTGAACAATTTAATGAATTATTTCCTAATGTTTCTTGTATCAAACTGCATATGGGTGAGTTTCTTTGTTTGTTATATCTAAGGATGCTGATTCTGATAGATGCGAAATGTGAAATCGAAAACATTTCTATGATTCGCAGCATAATACTTCTCAATCTTTGAATAATCCATTAATCTAGTAGTTCAGAACTTTATAAATAATGGATCGATAAACAACAAAAGAGAACACTACTACTAGCTTTGATCAGTGTGAAATACGTTCAACTCAGTATTTTGAAAAGCAGTTATAAATCACTTTTAAATTATGAGGTGAGCAATCTTAACTTTGATACGATAAAAGATGTTACCGATTCCGATTCGAAAAGAAGACGACTTTGCCCCGGTGAAGTTACATCTATAATAAATTCATTTAAAATTATCAATTTGAATAAAAGAAAAATGAATATTATGATGAATTACAATTGCGTGACAAAGAATAACTCCTTATGAACATATATATTTTGTATTAAATGAAAGTTTTTATTTTCTATTTAGGACAGTATATAACCACTGATAATCTACAGTTAATAGTATCTGAAATGCCATTTGAAAATGAAAAATGCAAATTAACTGATATTCAATTGCGAAACGTCACTAGACTTGATTTTAATCTGTATTTTGATCGTACGTCTGGTAAGTTTCCACACTCTTTTGTAATATTTAATGAAAATACGAGAAAAGATTTTCCGTATTACATTAATAAAGAAAACTTTAAGAATAATTGAGGTTTGTTAAAACATTAAATATTGCGTGTTGTTATTAAAGTTCGTTTGATAGACTTTGTTTTGAAAACCGTTTCATCTAATTGTTTAGAAGAAAAAGTTTTTGTATTTTAATTTAGAAAGATGTTAGTTATTTACCTTCCAAGTTTTTATAAAATGACAATTGAAAATTGTCACTAACGAGGAAGACTTTCTGAAGATAAATCTCGATGTGGACCGGAATCTAGAAATAAATTAAACTTTTGGACACGGATCAGGTTTAGGTCTAAAGAGATTCACAACTTCCTACAATAGCGAAGTCTGTTTGACCATAATTAATAAAAAGTTTTCTAGAAAGCTTTTTATTAACTATCAATATATTGAACAGAATAAGTCATAAAATATAATAGCCTTATAGGAATAAATATAGTGCATTCTAAAATTTCACTGCTTTTTCTCCTGACATATTTTGATCAAATAAATGGTTGATGGTAGAAATTTAATCGTAAATCTTAAAATAAATTATTATTTTTTATTCAATAGTCAAAAATACAAATAAATTTTTTTTCCAAGGGAATTATGATGAATCAATTGATCGAATTAAAGCACGTGCAAAAGTCCTCGCTCATCTTATTTCAATCCCTGTTCAACTCAAAGATCTTCGAGTATATGAGTTTGAGTGGCTTTTGCATGTTGTTCAATATGTAAGTATCATTTGTATTCAGGGATGTGCCGAAAGAAAAAACGTGGGGGGGGGGTCCAAGGTATAGATTCCTGTACTCCCCCTCAGGAAAAAGCTGTAATATCCAGATTTTAAAATAAAAGTTCTACAGCAATTTTAATAAAGAAAGTCAATATTTTTCAAAAGTGGGGGGTCCGGACCCCCCCTCCCGTCCCCCCCATCGGCACATCCCTGTTTATATTTATACTCTTTTTTTTGAGTTTGATAATTTCATTTTATTTATTACAAATAATTTCAATGGATGTATTACTAAACGAACTATTAAAGAAAAATAATTTAGTTTTGTAGAACAATCAATATTCTGTTTTTTCATGTTGTATCGAAAAAAGAATAGATTCATTTTATATAGTGCGAAAAAAAATAAATAATTTATTTAATCTTAATAAGAAAAAAAAATTGAGTACTTATTCTATGCATTTAATCATGATTAAACTGTAATTTGAAATATACCATTTATCAGTCAAAGTACTGTTATCTATTTTTATTTTATTTTTAGGCATTTGATGAACTAAGAAAAAATGCACTGAATACTGTTCAATATGCCGAATTTAGGATTCCTAGTTGTCATCGTGGTTCAAACGAATCGATTCGTATTGGTCAAAATCTTGTACCTTTTCTTAGTACTTATATGTCTAATTTACAAACATTACGTCTTTGGCGTCTAGATGATTTTCCATGGACATCTAGTATGTAGATTTTATATGAACTATGAAGAATAGATTTTTTTTTTCCGAATATATAAAATGATAAAATCAATTTGAATTAAAAAGGGTTTTATTCTTTATTAAAATTTTTCTGGCATATACCTAATTCGAGTGTTGATCGATAAGTTAGAATTTTCAAGATCTAATCAGATTCAACTCGAACTCTAAAATTATCTATATTCATGATACAAATTTTTATTTTGTTTGTTTTCTTTATTCTAGTTCGACCAGATTATAATAAACATATATATTCTTATTCACGTTTAGTCAATCAATGGTATAAGTCACTTTAAACCTCTGAATCAATTGGTATGAAAATAATAGAAATTTATGTGAAAGAATAAATTAAGAAAAAAAAAATTCCTTTTTAGTACAACATGTCGCCGTTTTTCAATAAAATCTTTCTCACTTAGTGTTAGGATATATGGATGATTTCATATTTCTTTTTCTTCAGTTGTTACTATATGTTCTTACCCGTCTGACCTATTCTTCTTCACTGACGTCTTTTGTTGTAACTCTACTTGTTGTTCATTTTCAATCAGACGAAGAAACTCAACTTCTTCCCTGACTAGTCCAATTTTCCCTTCCTATATATACTTCGTGTTTTTCCAATAAAGGAAAAGGCAAGCTAACATTCTAACTCTTAGTTAAACAAATGAAAGAACTTATTTTTCTCGATATTCATGGTCAAATTCATAAAGAAAAAGTCGAATCTTATCGTTCTATGGTACAAACTCTTTTCCCTTATAGTTGATATGATATTGAAATACTTCGATTTCGTCTTTGGTTTTGATTTTTTTGTTATCTGTTATATATAATAATCGTATAATTATGATTATCTGTAGAGAATTTTTTTCTGCTTATACTTCTTCAACACACAATAAATCTTGAAAATCTTTGTAAAAATAAATTTATTTAATATATTTGATTTCTCTATCATTTTTTTCGATCATTTTATGTTGATGGTGAGGGTACAATCGGAGTGGATATCGAGTTGATCTAGAATTGTGTGAATAAGAATATGATATCTCTTTAGCACAAATATAATAAAATCTATATCAACTAAAAATATTTAAATTGGAAACTTTATAAAAGAAGAATTGAGCTATGTAAGTCCTCATTCGATGCCAAAGCAATATGAAAGAAAATGTTTTTATTTCTAATGTTATTTTGTTCTCATGAAAGAACATTTTTAGATTATTCGTGGTCACTGAAACAACGAATCATTTATCTTTTTAAATCAAAGAAAAGTAAATTTTTGTATTATTTTTATAGTGTAATCATCATGAAAGAATTATGTCAATTTCATTATAGAATATTACATATACATCATTGGTTTTCTGATGTTGTTATATTTTCATGAAATGTTTTAAAACATTAAATGAAATCTAAAAATAATTGTAAGATATATATGGCAATGCAATGAATTAGTAATGCTTTTGAAAAATTTAATTTGAATACAAGCGTAAGAATATCAAATTCACATCATAATCATCATCATCCTCACTCTCAATTCTTAGAACATAATTCAGCAATTGATAATTTACAATTCAATATATGAGAGAGATTAAAAATATCATTTATTTCATTTCATCTTGTAAATCATTGTTGCTATTTCAATATTTTATAATAATAACAATACTATGAGAATATTGTCATATGTTATTTATGTTATTCTATTAATCACCTAGTACTTAAAGGGTGGAATGCTTGGATGAGAAAATCCACATATGAGTATCATTTACTTTTAAAAAGTTTATTCGACTTTAGGATAAATGAAGAACACGATCATAAATTCCTATTGACTAAAGTATTACTTATTTTAAAAGTAAAAAATTGATTATAGTCAACAACTTCTGATAATAACACTTCTCGTCATATAAGTACAAAAGCGACACCTTTTTAGAGCATATATGAGAGAGGAATTCGTGTACAAACTGATTTGGCTATTCAGTCAACTAGAAAAATAAAAGAAGCTACATGATATATGAGTTTCGATGACTCAGCTCATTGATTGACTAGAAAATTTTAAAAACTAAATATTTGGTTTTCATTAGCAATATTCACTTTCCGTTCTAGAAATGAATTCTCATTCTTTATTGAACATACATGAGCTGTGCACGTTATTCTGTCTTTTTATTTTGATGTCTTTTAAGTACAAATTTTCCGATTTGTCTACAACATAAACGTAGTCATTGACCCTTCCAATGTTTCTACTGATAATGTTAGTAATTTAAAGAAAAACTGTTGGATATGAATACTTAGCATCATTACTTGCTTCACATTATACTAGCAGAATGTTATATATTTAGCTCATAAAAGTTCATATAGGGTATGCTTTTTGTATAGTTGTTTGAACTACAATCGACTCTTCAGTATATGTTTTTATTTACAGCATCAAAATTTATTTCAAAAGACTTGAATTCGAGTTTATCTCGATCAATAAAGACGAAAATTACCCTGCTGAGACTTGCAAATAGTAGCCAAATAGAAATCAAACATTTGAGACTTTACAGACTACAAAACAGAATATAGTCAATTAATTATTCCAGAGTATATAGATAAAACAGAAAATGGTGAAGATTTTTTCTTCCATGTGTTAAAAATTTGTTCAAAGATCAAACCACTACTATATAGTCAAAAAGAATCAATCTTGTCTTTAAAACAATTAACGAAAGACACTAATAAGGTTTTTGGAAAGAGATTATCAATGAACGTAGTATTTTTTTATGTCTTTGCTATTCATCTTTTTCAAAGAGAATACTTCACACACTCATGACACTGAAATATATCATGAATGGAAATATACATAAAACAAACTAGAGTTTCTATCAACAATCGGTTGAAAACAAAAAATGAAAGCTTTGTAAATCAAATAATTTTAATTACGATAAGTTTACGTGATTACTTTCGTTGTCGAATATCTAAAACTCCGATTCAAATAATATTCTTGAAGTAAAAATTGATAGAGAATGATCAGTACTGGAAACCACATCATCTTAAGGGTATCGTTTTTTTTGTCCTAGGTGTGTCAGACTATTTTTTGAGTTTCAATAGAGTGCATGTTCAAAAAGCGATTGGCATGGATTCAAAATCAAACGATTCTAGTGATTCTCAATATTCAGAATTGAAAACTATATTTTAGATTTGATTTTGATTCAGTTGTAAACAAACTCAAAGAGTCTCTACCGTTAATAGATATTAAGCATTTTTTCAATATAGAAAAATCAAGTATGTAAGTGCAAATTCAACATTTTTTCTTCTATTTGATTTAAAGAAAATTTCATGACTTGTGCATTAGAAATTTTCTAATCCTAGAGCTATAAGTTCTTATACAATGTACTCATATTGGAAAGAACTTCAAGAAAATATACTTTCGAAATACAAAATCTCAAGCACTCAAATTATGAAAAGCATTCTAGCTAAATGACTGACTTTTTTTCGTTAAGATTTGAACTTCATATGATACAACTGTTAAATTTCATCTGCATTATTTTCAGATGTTAAAAGTATTTCAACAGAAAAAAACATCAGCAATTCCATTTGCTTATCAATATTTATTATCCGTTCCTCCTAGTTATGAATTCGAGAAAACAGACAAGCATTGGCCTCTTCTCTTATTCTTACATGGTGCTGGAGAATCGCATGCTCCAATTGAAAAAGTTCTACAACATGGTCCTCCAAAATTGGTTAATGCTTATTCATCCAACAAACAAGATAATCCATCGGTGGATAATATCAATATGGAATGTGCACAGTTAGTAGCCGAAAACTTTATTACATGTAGTCCACAAGTTGATCGAGGTTATGGATGGGATTCCAAGGTCTTGTCAGTACTTTTGGATGAATTAGAACGAACATATTGTATTGACAAAAATAAAATATATGTGACTGGTATCAGTATGGGTAAGTTGTTTTAAAGATATGCATTAGTTGAAGTCTCTAGAATTGATATATTCTTATGCAATGAAAAAATAAACAAATCGAAAATTATCTTTGTTGGAAATAATATTTTACAATTTACAAAAAAAAGCTATCGTATTGCTACACGAATCAAAGTGGCTTTAGTGTTCAGTTGAGTGGCACTAGTTGTAGCTTAAAATTGCTCGAAACTTCAGTTTCCTTCTTTCTCAGGCTAACAATTGAAACTCAATAATTATCAGTATTGATCAGTATTCGAAAAAAAAGTATTCTTTTTTTTAAACCAACGTTTATGATTATTTTGACTGATTCACTACTATTATACAATGAATGTTAGTGTATATATAAGATTCTTGTTATTCATCTAACAGACAAGACTGTTGTGAAAATGATTCATCTTCCATATATGTATATTAATCATTTTGAATTTTATGCATCTCACTTCTTATTTGCATTTTCAGGTGGTTATGGTACATGGTCCCTCGCAATAGCTCAACCCACTCGGTTCGCTGCCATCATTCCTATATGTGGTGGTGGCGATCGTCAGCGTATTTCACTTTTGAAACATCTACCCATATGGAATTTTCATGGGACATTAGATGATGTAATACCAGTTGAAGAATCGTTATTATTAATTAAAGCATTGAATAGTCCACTTTGTCAATCAACAGTTTATCCGAATTTAGAACATGATTCATGGACAGAAACATACAATAATCCAGAAATTTACAAATGGCTACTTGAACAAACTAAAAATACATAACAAAATAAACTGATGGTACGTGTACATACCGTCAGATATTTTAGGCGTTATTAGAAAGTTGTGAAAGAATAGCATTTGTGGAAACTATGTATGTTCTGTAATGTGGTTGTTCAATATTCGTTTAAAGAGAGCCTTCAAGAGATAAAAAAAATAGACTTAACTCATTTTCCTTTTCTCATTAGCTATCAAAAAGTTATAATTTTAATATCCTACGTCGGAAGTAACCAAATGTTTTTTTTTTCGAAAATTCGGTCTGACAAAGAATATTTTCTTTATTTTAGTTCAAATTACAAATAGATCTAGCTTGTTTTTGACGAACTCTGAAACATTAAAATTATGAGTTTGGTTTAAATAGAAATTCATTGAGAAGAAGTATGCGTTTTTTCTTCGCTGTCTATACATGTATTTCTCAACAGAAAGATCGTGTAATAAAATGAATTCACTTTGCTAAATGACGAATATTAATGCAAAATATATGTTATTCTGACAAATAACAGTATTTTTGTTTACGACAGAATAGTGTATATAAAAAAATAGTCACTAGAATTGTTAGACACTTTGATGAAATCTATATTGATTGAAGAAGTTTTCTCATTTCGATTGCGAATATCTAAAGTTTAGACTGTAATTTTAGTTTAGTTTTCAGAATTGGACTTGTATACTTGTTATTTGATTTATCAACCATTGGAAATGCTTTATTTTCTTGTTTAGGTGTCAATATGAACAATTTACAATTGTTAGGCAAGCTGTTCATTATATTTGTTTAATTCAAGCTTGAGATTTTTTACTTAACATCTGTAACATGGTGTATTTTTATTTTCAAGTCAAACGTTGATCTACGTTTGTTATTTTTTTACATAAAATCAAGCAACATAGAAAACTCATTCCAGTACCTTAAAAAAAAACTATTATATGATCTGTCTCGGTTTTCCATGAACATATGGGAAATATTACAGAGAAGCAACCTCTATTTAGAATTACTTGAACTGATTTTGTGTCAGATCATATCTAGTAACACATTCGCAGACTTATCATCATCAAACAATTATGATGAAATTAGATTTTTGTTCTCACTATTGTTTGATATCATATGAGTTCATGCCACTATGCGAATGATGATTTGTGTATAAATGGACATTTCCTAAATCGCTCTATCTAAGGACAAGTATTCAAGATCGATCGATAAACTTACATTGTTCAGAGTTATTTATTGAAAGTTGATTGTGATTGTTTGTAAAATGCACTAGCTTTGAAGTTTATCAACGAACCCTCTTGACTTTCATCGTAGATTCTAATCGGATGTAGGTATGACTGCTATCTTCTACCCCACCTACACTGGCGTACCTTCGCTATGATCAGAGCAACCTCTGTGGAGTATCCTGTTTTACTTTCTTAATTTAGTTTTCGCTCGAAAAATTTTTACCAGAGTTCTTGTTTTGTAGAAATGAACAGTAACTGTTGTGTAACAATGACACATCTTTAAACAAGTGTTGATGATGTCTAACCTAATAATTCTTCTGTTTAGTACGAAATACGACCTCATTCTTTTCCTTTTCATGCGACATCTATATCATTATCCCTTAATAGTTTCTCGTTTTTTGCTAGGCAAAGATCTACACGATCAAGTTGCTTTGTATCTTTTGCCAGAGAAGACACGTACTTTTTGAATCGCATGAATCCTTTGTAGATGTACATTAATAATTTCTAGGTGTGCATATGTTCCGTTGAATAGATGATGTGTTTTCACAAAGAATATTTGATCAGCTACATTCGTTGGCGCAGGAAAGCTCGATAAGTAAATAGAACATGAGGCATTTTATTAAATGTCAGCAGTGGGCTTTATCTCATTTGTAAATACTAAAGTAGAATGTAGATGATCATGCTATGATATGGTTGATATGAATATGCAGGAGAATTTTTCCAGCGCTACTTGGAGAGTCACAAGCGATCATACTAATGCATTCTTCGTAATATCTTTCAATAAAGTTGTAGAGTTTTGCACGTGTACCACTGTCACAAACTTTACTTCGAATCCATCTGTTTACAAAAAAATAGAATAGAATCTTTTCTGAAAACTAGTACATTGTGCAGCAACGAAAAATAAGAAAAGATTTTACATGATGATATCTCATTTTCAACAATCTTGAAGTGTTGGATTGATATCGTCTGATTTAGCATGCATGTGTTTTAAAACCTTTTTGAGCTCGTCAACAATAGGTCCTGGTAAAGTTTTATTTCGACTGTAAGAAAGAAAAAGTTTTTTTTTCATTCCTTTGAAGAAAGAAAAATAAATATAAACTTACGAGAGAAACCAAACATGTTCAAATTTTATACCCACAATAGGAACATAATCACATGAATAGATCAATGAATATTGCTCATAGTCCGCTTGAATTATATTATATTTGACCGTTTGACCTATAGACAAGAATAAAACTAATCAACGCTGATAGAATAGTAGAGAGCATTACTCGGATTTGTATAATGAATGAGAAAAGCAGCTGGCTACGACTCTTTCTTAGGCTTAGCCAGACCTCGATGGCTGTAGTAACCACTGAGTTTATTTAGACCGTGACTCCATACATCCATGGTTCCATTAGAATTGGCCGTATATGTTCCATTTTCACATTGTGTATCTACTTCGTTAATATCATGCCGATAGGCTTCATACCAAAGACCTGTATACTAAAATGAGAATTAAGATTATCCTAATATAATAAAAGTATCGAACTTTAGTGACGTTGAAATTCTTTTGAGTGAAAACCAATGGACATAATGACGCTTGTAATATATCAATGACAAAGAAAAGAAAAACAATCACTATTAATGATGACATCGAGCTGTTGGCTTGATTCTCATATTTAGATTCTTTATAATATACTTCACAATAGTATGGCATTCGTGATAAAGTCAAAACGACGACATATCATAAATATGCTGAGAAAATTAACTAGAAGAACATCAGCTGTCATTGAAAACAATGATATTCAACACAAAACCTTTATGCATGCGAATTATATAAGCTAATGACAAGGACGACAGTCAGTGTGAGTGGTTTGGATTCTTCGATAAAAGCCTATGCTAAACATACAATGTTGTAAAACTACAGTCGACTAATCATATTGTAAGCTACGTCACCGTGCAGGATGAAGCTCGAAGAGATATTTGACCGGTTCCAATTATAATAGATCAACGAACGAGTAAGAGACTTGCCGCGTCTTGATTCTATAGCTGTTCGGAAATGTATAGCTAACTGTCTTCAAACAAGAACAAATGATATCTTTACTAATGAAGCATTGAGATCACAGTCAAAACGATTGTTTCTCTTGAATTAACGAAGACTGACATTGATGAAAAATATTCATTTCTATTTTAATATGTCATGGGCTACTTAACAAAAATCATTGAAATCAAAATCAAAATTTGAAAGTGATCCGTCTAATTCAACGAATCTAATCTCATTCAGTTTGATTCGTGTTCGTTATTGATTTTTGGATTTTGAAGCAAATCGTTCTTTAGTCGAACAATAAATTGATTGATTGATGGCAATAGGGAAACTTCAAAACAATTTATATAGAACATCGAACTGTAACTTATCATAGAATTGAACGATTGTTTTTGGCAAATTCAATAGTTATCAAAGCAAATAATCTGTGAAGGTCTCAATTTTGTTTAGCAAACGTAGATAGAAGTCAACATTGCCGATTCATAGTGAAACATATATCCCAGTTTTAGTACTGTACTCGAATAATACGCAAAAAAAATGCACAAAACTTCCAATGTTTTTCGATAAAGTTTACAGTACGTTGTGTTTTTCTTGTTTACTAAGTGATGTTAGGATTCTTTCGTTTCTTTTCCACGTGGTCACAGATGAAAAATAACAAAACCAACAGAAGAAAAATGTTTATTTGTCATGGTAAACAATTTATATACATATTTCTAGTGTAATTGCATCGGCATTCGTAATACGACAACGTAGGACGCCTGAGAAAAAAGTGAAATCGTAGTGAAAAACACTCATATCACAAATGACTGAAAACATATGTATGCCTGTAACCAGTAAAATTATCATCTATACTATTATGAGTATTTTTCTATTTCAGTTGTATTTACTATGGACTCAGGACCATTTCTTGATATAATTCCAATTTTACTGAGCTATTTAGACTTGCGAAGTCTTGTTCATTTAGCACAAACATGTCGTTTTTGGAGAGAACGTATTTATAACGATTTGAAATTATGGCCCAATGTGATTGAATTACCATACATTGGTCACATGCGTGATTATAGTTCAAGACGTCATGATCCGGAAAATGTTATTAAGGTGAAATTATGGTCAATGATTTTACCACCAGATGATCTGAAAGCTTTGGAAAATGTTTTAGAAAAAATGGCATCATCAGATGAAAGTGTGCAACGATTTCAATTAGTAGAAAAAGTATGATACAAAATAGAATTGAATCAGACAGCAACAAAAGTGAATTTCTTCTGATTTCTAACATATATTAACATATTCTTTATTAATAGTATTATCTGTTTTATAATGCTTTGCAAAGTATCCAAGAAAATTACGAGTACTTGTTCATAATTTTGATTAAATCAATTTGAAGCATTTCTTGAGAGATGCACTTTCATCATTTTAAATGAAATCTTTCTTCATGTTGTAGGTCCTATTCAAAAATTTTGTTCATACTGATGAATCTTTACGCTTAACTGCACTATTATTTCCTTCGATTAAAGAAATTAGCTTTGAGGGTAATTTGTTAACGGTGAATGGTATTCAATATATAGCTGCATCCTGTAAACAACTTAAACATATTGAATTTTATCAGTGTGAAAACATTGATCTCTTAAGTGCTTGCCGTTTATTCAACACTGAAGACCATAAACAAAATTTAGAGCGAATTTTTATTCATTCCAGTTGTTTGTCAGAATCAAATATCAAATTTACAATGCAAGATGTTTTGCCATTCATGGCATTATGTCAACGATGTGGATTATACTTCAATGAGCTCAAAAATGAAAAAGAAATGTTGTGCCTATATCATCCAGGGGTGAATATTGGATATTTAAGTCTAACACAGAGTAATGTTCGAGAGTGTTACTTTTTCGAAGTTAAGTGGATACCTCAAGATAAAACGTGGAATCGGTTAGTACATGATCGTTGATCTTGGCTACCACTTTTTTTTCTTGCAATACCAATTTTCGGAATTTCATTAGCTGGAAAGAACCCAAGAAAAACACTCGAAAACCATGTAAGATCGTGTTTCTACACACGATTCGAATTTTCAATACTCTCAGGGGAACAAAAGATCTATATAGAATCGGTATTTCAATTTCAGAATTTCATTATGTTCTTCACATAAGACTTCATAGTGGAACCTTTATTCTAGACTTGATTTTGATAGTAATTGCTTTTAATGGCTCCTTCGTCACTTAAGATGAATAACATGATTTTATTCTTCTTTCAGACATATGAGGGTTATGGTCATAGTTGTTCATCCTTCAATTGTTGTGGTAGTGGCACACCACGATATCCATCGACTTTAGGTTGTCAATATACGTATCATCAGAAGTTTGCTGGCTCATTGTCACAGTGGTCGGACATGCATGAGTTGCATGATGGGTAGATATACTAAAACTTTTTTGCCGTCTAAACAAATAAGGTTTTGTATTCTTGCATTTTTAGGCATCCAGAATATATGTTTCAAAAGTATAAACCGGATTTGTTCTCATTGATTTTTACGAGTAGACGAAACTTGAATCTATGCTATAAAATATGGAGTGAAAGGCAACAATGCAAAGTAAATAAGTGATATGACTGAACGGTTTCATGTGACTTTTTGGGTGCTATTATATTTCTAATGTGAAATAAAACTCGACAAGATTTTTATTGATTATAAGAACAGAACTGTTTGCTGCGTTGACAATACTTTTTATTAATTTCCATTATCTATTTTCTATCAGGTGTCGGGGAGAGGGTGTGTGTACATGCTGGTGTGGTTGTTTCTGGGTGTGTAAGTGCGTGTCGTCTTTTCAGCCATACATATATTCTTATTATTTAACTTTTTCATGTCAATCAATTAGTTTTTGAGATAAGTGTATTACTTGTCATCTATAACTCATCAGCACTAACTTCCTATCATCCATTTCGTATTAATACGTTTAAGGATCAAAAGAATTTTTATGGTGATCAGAAGACAGTTTTTTTAAAAATATCCATTCTCTCAAACACTGATGAATATTTATTATTTAAATAAGAAAAACTTATCTTCATTGTTCTTATTCTCTCTTCACGAATCCGTGTGACTTAAATATTCATATTTGTCTAATATGGTGAAGAATGACGTGAATATTCTTTTTTCTTCGTCAAATACTGTCGTTTTTTAGTTCTTGATGTCAAATAAAAACGGAGAAGATAAAGATGATAACAACACACTTTTGTTGGTTTTTTCCAATTTATACAGCTTGTCGATTTCAAGTTGAGTATGCTTAAATACACCTGAGAAATGCATGTTTTTTTTTTTTGGACAAAGTAATCAACCTTATTCATATGGGAGTTTTATGTACGATTTTATATTTTGCATTAATACGTTATTTTCTTGCAAAAAAATGATGAAAGATAATAATCACCATCCAACAACAATATTTTTATTCGAAGTAGATTCTTGATATATTTCGCAATGACTTTATTTCTTAAAAATATAAACAATAGTATCCGCAATAATTAAGCTTCAGTTTATCGTCAGAAGATATTTGTCTATGTTGCCAAACGAAAAAACTAAGCCTTTTACATTTCTTTGAGAAAATATCGTCGAGGTAGTTCTAGATCTAATATAGTTCAGAATACATTGTTCAGATGAGCCACTTCAGCAGTTCAGTTGATAGAAACTGATCTATTAACACAGTTACTTTGAAATATTCATCTGAAATCTTGAACTGTTTTTTCGTCTAGGTAAAGCTGTGTACTAAAGTAGAATGTCACTAACTTTAAAATGTCATCGATGAATATTTATTATTCGTTTTCATGTTATAAAATAAAAAATTCAAATGTTTGGCTTTTCGAAAAGTCATTTAACTTTTTTAAAGCATAAAGAGAATTCGATTAGAAAAATCTTCAAACTATTGTTAAAGATTTGACACACACACACTCTCTCTTCAAACATATACCTTCACCGATACCAACATTCACAACTCACAACTAATCTCAGATGTAGATCAACATTCACACACTCAAGCCTACTGATAGAGTGCTTCCCAGTGAATTTATATTCATTCGATGAAATCGTTCAATGATCCATCTCATAGACATTCCGTTAAAATATTTGATTATAATTATTTATTTACACAAATTTATTTTTTCTTTCAAGACCACTTCTACAAGAAAGAAAAGAACAATTGTTCTAATTTCATAAGTCGTTTAGCTAATCAGGCTCGCAAGACCTGTTGTTTGAAAGTTTCTGATCTAAATCACCATCATATTTGGCACGGTGAAGACATTTAGCAAGATAGTGGCATTGGTAGAAGACACGCTCTTTCCTAGTAAGCTTAAATAAAATCGATTAGTGTTTTTCGGTATACGAAAGTAATACAAGGTGTTGGGGTATCCATTGCCAGCATAGAAATCATGACGACGGGAATTTTCAATTGTGTTAGCACTAGTCGGATTCGGTTCAGACAGCGAAGCGTATACGCTACAGCTTGGGCAATTAGACGCAAACATGACGATTGTGTCACTTGTCGCTGTGTATGAATAGGTATTAAGTTGCACCGTGTAATAAATACTGTTTGATACACTCGCAATTGACAGTGGGCTATTGATCACAAGAAGGCGAGGTACATCAGAAACCAGAGAAGCAATATATGAAGCTGAAAGAATCAGCTCATAAACAGTCATAACTGGAATAGCATAGTATCGTGCAGGATGTGAAGCCAGTTGATCCAAAGCTGCTGTATTTCCCAAAATTCCGATACCAACAACGATAAATGTCATACCGCGATTTCTTTCTAATTGACGAATGGTAGATTCCGCTAAAGAATCTGGTGTACTAGATATAATAACAGTCACTCGTGGCACGTCCGATCGACAATACGTTACACAGTACGAGTCGACACTATTCAAAGCCGATACCAAATTAGATGGATTTGACTGTGTCACTGTATATTGTTTCAGATCCAATCTTGTCTTGACTTCTGAGGCAGTAGTAACCGCTAGACTAACAGTACTAACTGTTGAAGATGCACCGTAAAAAAGGATACTAAATCGAGGCTTTGACCCATATGGATTCAGTTCGGTAGCCATATTGTTTATGGTTGTTTTTAACAGTCCTAATTGCATAACATTCATGTGTGCATTATTTTCATCGACGACAACAAACAGATCCACACCTTTGCCATTCAGTGGATTACTGAAAGTTCTTATTGGACTACCGATCACTCCAACAAAGAGTAGTAATACCACTCCCACGTGGACATTCATCCAGATACAATATTCAGTTTTGTACATTTTATACTTGATCTAAATGCGTCAAAAAACATAATGACAAACTTCTTCCTAGTATTTAGTCTTATAGAGACAATATTTTTCTATAAAAGAGTGTTAGTAAGTTTAATAGAATTGATGGTTCAGTTTTTACGGTATGTTTAGAACAGACATGATAGAGACTATCTCGTCCATGGTGTCTGACAAATGTGCAGCAATGGACTAAAAACTTGCACCGACGCTTTCTTTTGAAAAAAAAGTGCCTCTATAAAACTATAAGATTAATTATTTTTGGACATTGCATACTTACTATTCAATGTGGAATCTAACGTAAATGTGAAGAAGAAAACTTTTGAATATGTTGTGATAGAAATCCAAAAGCATTGCCTGTATATTTATAGAGCTCGGCAATTGCGTCGTTTGATAAGTTTAAACTTATATATCTATGTAGGCTGGTTTTTATCAATTATACATTGTTATCTGAAGTGACTAATGGGACTGTTATTACTTATAAGGATGAAATGATCTTTTTAATTGCGTCGTAGTATGATTGTAATAAAACATACAGGTGAGCTAAAAGGAGTTGGGTTTTTTCCAAGTAATAAAATGTGTATATGTAATTATTCATTCTTATCTACTTTTACTTTATGACTTTGTTGTCTGATAAACAATTGTTGCTCTTGACTGTTATATTCTTGGGCAAAAAAATATTTCATCAAAGTTAGATCACTGAAAGAGGGGCTGTTAGGACTTCTTTAGGAGTTACTTCTCTACAAAGCTTATAGGATTTATTAAATTTATTGATATTTAAATGCTCTTCCTCGAGCAACTATGTTCAGCAGATATAAACAAGCAGGAATATTCATGTTAAGAACAGCAATCTTTTATTTTTCTTGATTATGAATACAAAAATGTTGAATAAAGATTGTTAAAATAATATTTTCTAGTAGTTTTGTTAATCG